GGAGCTCCCTTCCAAGGAAGCTAGGTTTGCCCCTTCTCGCTTTCCTTCAGCCAGCAGGAAAAGGCCTTGCTTTTCAAGGCAGGCTTCTGAGGAAATGAACAGGCTAACTAGGAACAGACTTTTTATGGGTGATGCTGTGCTTTCTTTTCCTTTTTTTATAGGACTGTTTTTAATTTTTTAAAAGCTTTTAAAGTGTTTTAAAGTGTTTTTTCTTTTGGCTGGATAGTCAGTGGTTTAAGTATCTGGCCAAGAAGCCAGAACTTTGCAGTTCAGTTCCCGACTGAACCAGCCTGTGTTGGTGTGGGCAAACTGCACAGTTCCGGGGTGCCCGCAGGAGAAGGGAAGAGTAAACCACTTCTGAGTATTCTCTACTTAGAAAATCCTTTAAAAGGTCACCATAAATCAGAAATGACTTGATTATACATGATTATTATTAAAGTGTTTTTAATTTACTGGTGTTCTAATATGTGTTTAGCTGACTTTTATATTTTTAACCGTAGTTGTTTTTTTAACTATTTTGTAAACTCCTTGAGTACATGTCTAGGTGAACAAAGAAACTAACAAAAGGAATAAGCTAGTAATAATAATAAATGCAATAATACAATTGTTGTCTGATACTGAAGAGATGGCCAGAAGGGTTGCATGAATGGGCAAAAGGGTTGTCCACATGCTGCTTGTATCTTCAGAGGTATGTCTGAACAAAAGATAGCCAATTCTTTGTATGACATACTGGCTGAAAGCTGATTGTGCAGCTCCGGGTGCGCAACAATGATGCCATCATTATCAGTGGTAAATGGCGAGCAAGTAAAGGCAAATCGCAGCTGATTAAGGATACTTCTGATTTAGACTCAAATTTGGTGATAAATTTGCCAGTATTGATGGTATCACTGTTGGGAACATAGAGCTGTGCAATAGGTTTTCAGCCACTGTTTACTTTCTATCAGGTGATTTTATCATATTTATTGTAGATGATACATTGTCATATGTGCATGCCAGTGTTAGTACAGTATATGTATCTCATGGTGCATACAAAAAAAATTGGTTCATATGTGGGTGTTTGAAATTTATGTTCAGCTTGTTTATTGTATCACAATCACACAGTCAGCTAACTCCTTGCATAATTATTCTTAAAAGTTTTTTTAAAAACTTCTGAAGTATTTTAATTTGAGTTTTGTCAACTTGTCAGCTGACATTTGGTCTATTCTTGGTGTGCCAAAATGAGTATTATACCACATCTGGATTCAGTTAGGCATAGCAAGACTCTTAACATCTGTCTGGAGTGGAATAGGGCAAAACATGAAGCAATTCTTGCCATAGCTGGAAAAAGTCATTCTTTTTTCTCTTTTATTAATCTGATTGTGAAATAAGATTTTTTAAACTCAGAACTATTTTTTGTAACAAACAAAAGCTAGTAAACAGAAGTTCTGAACTATTTACCTATTTAATTTTCTAAAAATGGGAAAAAGAAGTTATCACAAGTAGCTTGTAGTTGATAGACTTTTAAAAAACATGTTTGTTAAAATGTATAATGTTTCTATTATGACTAGTCTCAAAAATTGAATCAAAAATTGAATCTGGGGGAACTATATTCTTTTAAATCTCTATATATGAGATCTAAGCTACCAACATGAATTTGACCTAACTCCGGGAGGCAGTGGAAGACGGGAGGGCCTGGCGTGCTCCGGTCCATGGGGTCACGAAGAGTCAGACATGACTAAATGACTAAACAACAGCAAAAATATGATGGCTGCTTATATAAGCCTTCTGGGGTCTTCAGATCCTCAGGAAAGGCCTTTTTCTCTGTCCTATCACCCTCACAGGCAGTTGGTGAGGACAAGAGAGAGAGAGCCTTCTTGGTGGCTGTTTCCAAGCTAAGAAATTTTCTTCTGAGGAAGGCTCACTGGGCTTTCCTTTATGATCCTTAGTTGGCTGGCCAAGATATTTTCATTTAAGCAAACCTTTGCTGTTCATTGGACCTTTCAGTGGAAGGTGTTTTGTTCCGCTGCTGCTGCTATTTTAAAATAGTTTAAATTTATGTTAGACTTTATTAATTGTTTACTGATTTTAATCTGATTGTTTAATTATTTAATTACCATATTAAATTTATGTCATTTAATTACAGTATTAAATATTTGCTGGATAGAACTTCTGGATAACTCAGTGGTTTAGGCATATGCCTGCGGAGCCAGGGGCTGGGAGTTTGAATCCCCACTGTGGGTTCTTGACAGCTGGATTAAATGATCCATACAGTCCCTTCCAAGTCTGCAGTTCTAGGAATAGTATTAAATACAGTGGTGCCTCGCTTAACGGGTGCCCCGTTTAACGAGGAATTCACTTAACGAAGAAGATTTTGCGATCGCTTTTGCGATCGCATAACGTTGTTTCCTATGGGGAAAAATCGCTTTGCGATTTTTCCCCATAGGCTCCATTTCCCCCAGCTGACAGGAGGGGCTTCTTCCGAATCTCCCGCCAGTCAGCGTTCGGCAGGAGGGGAAAGGAGGCTTCTTTTTCCCTCCTGGCTTTTTCCCTCCTGGCTGATTGCGATCGCCGGCCAGAAGGGCGTTCGGCAGGAGGGGAAAGGACCCTTCCTTTCCCCTCCTGGCCGATCGCTGGCACAGACGCCCCTGCGCGCTCGGCAGGAGGGGAAAGGAGGCTTCTTTTCCCCTCCTGGCTGATCGCGATCGCCGGCCAGAAGGGCGTTCGGCAGGAGGGGAAAGG